CTTTCTTTCTCCTTCTATCTATCTATCTATCTATCTGTCTAGCTATACATAAGAGACACCAGCAGCTAATTTGCGTGGAGGCCTTTACATAAATTGGTTTGCTGTTCATACTGCTCTGCTAGTCATCTGGTAGGTGAGAAGATGACAATCCGAATAGCCACGATGTGAAATACACGTCCGCCATTGGTGTGTCAGTGGGATTCGAGGCCAGTGAGTGTGGACTCAGAGATGGTGATGCAACCGTTTTATCCGTGCACAACACCAATGAAATAGGATTAAGCGATGTACGTCATTCACATTGGCATAATCAAACTTTTCATGGTACGAAGAGAGACTTGGTTGTGCATAGTTTTTTGATAAATTGGAGTTCTTTTATCCTCTATTTAGGCTTCAACGATCACTCGGTACCGCGCTTTAGGCCGTCGTGACAGGCATGGTCAGAGCATGTAAGTATTCTTTAAGGGAACGTCACCAAATTCTAAGCCAAGAGTGTTTGCTGGAGATTGGCATCCTGTTTGGGGAATCCCTCTTAACGAATGCTTTCGTCAAAGCGGAACAGTCAGTTTCATCAGCCTCGTCGGCTGGGCCGCTTGGTACGTCTGTGCCTAAACGCGGCGGAAAATTGCAACCCCGACGCCATGCTCTTTCGGTTTCAGGTGGGGCCACGATATAAATCACTTCTGACGAACATTTTGAGTGAAAAAAAACAAAAAATTGCCACATTTCCTGTGAAAAACTTCTCCACAAAGCAGCTCTGGCGGGATTCGGGTTGAAGCCGAATATCGTCCAACTTTTTCGAATGGATCGCAAACAAATAAATTCCAGCTAGACCAACTCGGCAGACCGCCAAAGACCTGTTGTGCTGTAACAACGACCAAATTACGCGGAGACAAGTAAAATCCTCCAATAAATCGGTTAGCCCTAGAGGCTCGTTGGGGCCAGATTGCTGGCGGTATATTACATTCTAGAAGAGGCAATCTGCAATTTGCCCTCGGTACCTCCTTTCTCGTCAAGCCCACTGCATTATCGCGGGCAGACGAGTATACACAAACAATCATAGCGTGTTAAATTAATTTCACCTTTCCTATTTCTGGAATCACGTAAGCGAGAAGCTGAGCTGGTTCGTTGACCTTTTCGCCTTATGGAGCGTCGTTTTTAGACGATCACACCTGCGCGTTAATGGGATTCGGCACAAGAAGGGTACAGGCTAAGGCTCAAAGTGTGTCCGAGTGATGAAGAGGAGAGGTGGAGTAGAGGCAAGACACAGCAGCCGGATCCACGAGATTGGTGGGCCTAGGCCAACCAGACAACCCTGCGTCTCCTGCCTCTGCCCCCCACTGGACCAACAATTGCTGGTGGTTGCCGGCTCTGGGTGAGAGCATGATGGCTGGCGGCTGTCAGTGGACTCGTGAATCTGTGTTGGTGCCTGCGGGTCTAGCTGTCGCGGTGAGTGGATCTGCTTTGGCCAGGCCTAACTGCATGTGGCTCCGGAAACTAACATGGCGCAAAACGAGAAGTGACAGTACCACTGATGCGCAAAGTA